GCCCGTACCGGACCGGGACCGGCAACGGGATCGCAACCCTCGGCGTTGCTCCCGCACCTCGCTCAGCCAGTGAGCGGCCGGTCTGTATGTGGGATCCGAACCCTCGGCGGGAGCGCTGCCGCACTTCCCAAGCGGCACACTGTAGCAGTGTGCTACCGGGCCGGCCTGAGTCTGATCTTTTAAAGGAAGAATCCTTCTCCCCGACTGGGCATCACACACCTCCATACCCATAACCCCCACCCCCAAAACAGACACAGGCAATATAGTGACCTGGTTCTGAAAAGCCAGTGGGCCTGGGTTCAAATCCCAGCTCTGCTGTGTGGCCCTGGGCAAGTCACTTAACCTCTCTGAACCTGTTTACCCATCTAGATGGGGGAAATCATATCCTCTTCATGGCTTCATTGGGACACTCAGTGTTCACTGTAATCATCACTTAGTCTCAAAGTCATGGGCAATGCTATGGGAGGCAGGGTCTCAGCCTGGAAGCCACACGTCCAGCCTCCATCACTGTGCTGGGTGACCTTAGGCATGTCCCAGACCCTGGCTCATTTCCTCCCCTGGCTAACAGGGGTACCCATACTAGCTTGGGGGATGGGGTGGGGCTGAGTATCTGTGAGGTAATGAGTCTTGGATTATTGGGTACTGAGGTAGCCTGGGGGTCCTGGGTGGGGATAGGTGAGGAGGGGGTCTGTTTACAGCCAGTATTTTGGAAAGACATTGACAGTCCACTAGCTGGCCAGTGTGAACTGGCCACCCTGCCACTACTACCTGGATTATTACTGTCATACTGGCTGTACTGCTTGTTTCTTCTCCATGATCCCATAAGGCTGTTAGAAGCACAGACTCAGGGGCCCAGTTTTCCCTGTGGCACCCACCTGTAGTCCAGTCCTGTTGTATTAACTGGCAGCAGGGGCCCTCCTGGCACCTCTGCCCCACCTGCCACCCCTCCTTCCCACCATCCCCCATGAGCAAACCAGACAGACAAAGGAAGAAGAGACCAACAGACAGGTTCACAGTATGCCCCTGAATGGCACAGACCACAGTGGTGGGAGGGGGCACGGGTAGGGTGGAGGGTGGGGATGGGAGTCAGACAGACAGTGAGAGGTCAGTCTTATGCCTGAGTGGCTTGGCAATTTCACCCTGCCCTGTGGAGAGAATCAGGTGGAGGTCAGAGTCATGTGGCTGCTTGGGGGATACTCAGTGGGACTTCCCTGCCCCCTCAAAGCACAGTCCCACTCCCCAGCCCATGAGCTCCCCCCCAGGTCCTGGGTCTAATGCTGGGCCCACTCCTCAGCTAGGCACCTTCCCTTGTCCCACAGCAAGGGTTTGGGGCCAGACTCCTTGACTGCCAGTACACTCTGGGGGTATCCAGGAGGCTGGAAGCAGCCCACCACCTGGGGACAGTTGCCCGATCTCACAGTCACCCCCAGGATGGAGCACTTGGAGAGGGGGAGAGAAGAGAAGCGGCTTGGGGTCTCTCCTCCCCCAACCCCTAAGACCTTACCCAGGCAGCCTGACTTTACAAAAAATGTACTAACAGGTACTGAAAGTTCACTCAACATACAGACATAGACCCAGGCACATCCATGGGTGTGCAGAAAGTTTAAGCACGTACACATCCGAATCCACATAGAAACACACACATGCAGAACTCACAGGCTAAAATACTTATGTGCGCTCCTGCACGATCACACATAAATCACACACCCTTGCCCTCACATGCATGCACATACACGTATACAGTGCTTGGCACATCAAATGTGCCCCCGTGAAGGGCTGGATGAGTGAGTGTGGAAGCCCTACGAGCCACGCTCACGAAGTTTAACTTCACCTACATGCATACACGACATCTTCCATGTGAGTACACAGAAAGGCAGCCACTCATGTGTTGTTGTAGCTCCCACCCATCCTTACAACAAACACCCATTAGAACAAAACATCTACATAAAGAACAACACACATCTCAATCCAGGGCAGTGATCCCGTGTCTCAGCTCTTAAAGAAGCCGCAGAATTTCAGCTGAGCCCAGGGCTGGGATGAGCCCCTGGGGTGTTGCTGGGAGAGGGTGGGAGCTGTACACGCTTTTGTTCACACATGCACATACTCTCCATGCCATTTCCCTGGGGCAATTGCCTCGCCTCTGACTTTTGGTTTCATGGGACTTGGTTAGGTCATCCGCCTCCTACCCAGGACCACTATCTGACCTTCCTGCCCATGCACACAGACACAAACATGCACACGAGGCCCTCAGTACCTTTTCTAATCCCTTGCCATGTTTTCTCAAGAGGGTGCCCTGCAGAGACAATGTCACAGGATGATCAACTTGGCAAGCCATTGGGAACCTGGCAAGCCACAGGGTGGGAACCCGGAATGGTCATGTGTGCACACATGGGGACAGAGGGATCTACACTACACAGAGGGCTGGTTGCTGGGTTGCATGGGGATTGCATGTGTGTGCCTTAATGACTGACTCTTAAAAGGTGTGAGACAGAGAGACAGGAAAGAGACAGAGAGAGAGAAAGAAAGAGAGAGAGAGAGATAAAGATAGAAATACAAAGCCAGAGACAGCCAGAAAGATAGGATAGAAGTTGCTGCCAAAACATAATCCATTTACATTTAATGTACTTATGAGGCTCTTGGTTGTTGTATTAACAAGAAAGCAAACGAGCTCCATATTCAGACAGACCTAAATTTGAATCCTGACTCTGGCATATACTCATATTTACTATTTGGCCTTGAGCAAGTGACTCTTCCTCTCTGAGCCTCAGCTTTCCTCATCCGCAAAATGGGAATAATAATATCCACCTCACTCAAAGGCTTGTCATGAAGATGAGCTGAAAGAGCAGCTGTGAGAAGGCCTGGCATGTATGGAGTCATCAGTAAATGTAAATTCCTTTATCTTCTGGCCTACAAGTACATTGCCTGTGGTTGGGTATGCTGCCACCAGGTGGTTACAGCCAAAGACCCAGGCTGTACCCACTGAGAACTGAGATGAGCACTCCTAACTTTTAGCAAGGGAATATCTTGTAACAGCCTTGTCTTTCCCACAAAGGGAGAATCTGAAGTGGTTTTACTGATGTGTCTGCCTTCATATATGTCTGCATACTACCACCGCCAGAATTAGCTCTGATTTAGCAAGCGTTGCCTCTGGGCCAGTCACTGAGATGAGCACTTGAATGCATTATCCCAGCTAGTTCCTACAACAACCCTCAGAGAGTTCCTACAATTAACCCCATTTTTCAGACAAGGAAGCAGAGGTTAGAAGATGAAATGACTTTCCAAGGTCACAGAGAGAGAGAGTAGCTGGGCTAGAATTTGACCCCAAGTCTGCCTGACACCAAAGCCACGACACCGTCTCCAACCTGGGTGCGTGTGCGTGCGTGAGTGCGTGTGTGTGTGTGTGTGTGTGTGTGTATTGGGAGGAGGGTAGATAGGGGGTGGGGAACAGAGGAACAGAGTCTGGTGCTTGGGACTTCAGTGGTGTCAGAGGTGGGGGCCTGCACTGAGCATCTGAGTAGGAACATACATGGTGAAGACTTGCATTCTGCAGGACTGCTAACAGTTCAGAGCCCAAACTAGAGGTCAGAGGGCCCTCTTGACTTTGAACCTCTTTCTAGCTTTGGGGAGAGAGCCAGATGTCCTGGTGGCATTAGATCACGGGAGTAAAGGTGGATTCCAACTAAAGGGCAAGGACAGATGTGAAGAAGGAGCTGGGACCAGGGTTTGGGAGCTGGCAGCTCCTCTGGACTTACAATGGGGCGGGGTGTGTGGGCGTGGCCTCCCTCCCTCCAGGCCCCGCCCCCTCCCCGTGCCCCGCCCCAGACAGACACAGGCACATCTAGGCAGGAGCTAGGACGGTGGGTGAGGTCCGGTGGGTGAGGACGGGGTGCTGGGTGAGGGGTGGGGTGCAGCCACTCGGTTGGCCAAGCCCAGACACAGAGCGGACGGACAGACGGACAGACAGGCCTCTACTTAGGATCATCTGTCAGCCGTGATGGGGGGGGGGCGGGGAAAGGGGGGATAAGACACCATGAGTCTTCGGGGAAGGCCAGGGAGGGGGCGGAGACGGCTCTGGGGAGCAAACCCCTGCCCCAGCCCAGCCCAGTGGTCGGAGGCTGGAATGCCCGAGCCTCCTCCATGTCTCTGCGGCCCCCGCCCACCCTCTCTAGGCCTTCCCCGTCCACCCAGAAACGTCCTCCTGCTGGATGCCGTGCCCTCAACCCGTGTGCCATCGCTGATCTCAGGCTTTTGATGCCTCCTGGAGGGGCCTGTGCCCAGCCACACCCCTCCGCAGATGTCTCCTTCCCCACCCCTACTGGACAGCCTGATCCCTGGGGATCATGGCCTCTGGTCTATGCCTAGAAGATGCACGGTTCTGGTCTCTGGATGACTGCTGACCTCTCTGACCTTGGATGCGCTCCATGACCTCTGGCTGACTGTCAGGAGCATCTCTCGTTTATTGGTCTCTGAAGTTCATGGTCTTTCCCTTCCTTGTCTCTTGATTGACCCCCTCCAAAGCCTCGTGATGAACCCGCTGACCCCTAGGACCTCTATGACTTGTGGATGACCTTTATCCTCAAGCTGACCTCTCTGTTTTCTGAATGACATTTGACCTTTGAATGATCTCTTGACTCTATTTGACCTCTTTGATCTTGGGATAACCCCAACTGATCCCTGAATGATCTCTTTAACCCTTTGATGCTCCTTGATCCATGTGTGACCTCTTTTATCTTGGAATGGCCCTACGGACCTCTGGGCTTCTATGATGCAGTGGCCCTTGCACCTGGATAACTTCTCTGAGCCCCAGTGCCTTCGTTCTCATCTCCCCAGCCTCCAGCACCATGCTCTCTGAGCTCTCACAGAGGAAGTGGCTCAGGTGTCCCCCTCTGGCCCCCCGCAGACCTCACCATCTGGTCAGTGAGAGGTGGCAGAATGATGGTCTTCTCCATGGTGTTCATAACCAGCTTCCACAACTCCTTCAGCACCCGCTTCAGCACTGTCTTCTTGCAGATTTTGGCAGAGAGTCAGGCTGGGGGCGAGGAGCAGGTCTGAGAGAGGGCCCACCTGGCACCAACCCACAGAGCCCCTTCCCCTCAACATGTGGGTATGGCAGAACAGCGTTCTATGGACCTGCAAGAGGGCACACAGCCTGTACAGGGACCCCTGGGTGGTCTGACAGGACTACAATATATGATGCATGTGGAGAAGAGGGAATAGTGGCTGGACAGGTCAGCAGGGGTTTGGGAGCTGTAGGGGCCTCCTCTGGACTTATAACGGGGCTGGCAGAAGGGCGTGGTCTCTGTCTCACCTGGCCATGCCTCCTCCCCATGCCTGGCCCCAGACAGACACAGTCACATCTAGGCAAGAGGTAGGATGGTGGGTGAGAGGTGGGTGGGGAGGGGTCTCAGCATCTGGAAAGAAGGCATGGACCTTATCGTGAAGATGGGGGCAGCGGGGAGCCATGGAGTGTTTGAAAGAGAGACAGCCAGACTTTCATGTTGGAAAGACCAGTGTGGGGGATGAACTGGAATGGGAAGGCTGGAAACCAGGGACTATGAGGGGGCTAGAGCCATGCCCGGGGGAAGAGGAGGGGAATGGTCAGGGGAGGGCAGACTTGAGAGAGAAAACAGCAAAGAATTCGTGATTGGATATATGGAGGTTGAAGGAAAGAGGGCAGTCTACCATGATCCAACCAACTGACCCAGCCATCCACCAAACTATCCCTCCTCCCACTTTCTTTCATTCTTTTTCTTTTTACCCATCAATCCATCCATCCACCCATCCATCCACGCACCCATCCATCCACCCACCCATCCATCCACCCACCCATCCATCCATCCATCCACCCACCC